CCCAGTTATAAGAATCTTCTATTTCATATCATCTCATCTAAATATCTAATTTTAATACTATTTAAAATATTTTTCTATATATTTTATACTATTTTACATTTATAATATTGAAATTAAATTAAATATTATTTATACAAAAATATAAAAAAATAATAAAAGGCACGATTTTAGCCATAACATTTTTAATTTTAATTTTAGAGTATTTTGTTTGTTGTGATATTGTTGAAACCAACGAAATAAATATAGTGTTGATTTTATTTCATTGTTGTCTAACTCTTTGTTAATTATAATTATTTTAATAAATGACCTAATAATTATAAAATACAAAATTATTTAAAATTAGGGTTATTTAGTATTTCAGTGATGTTGATTTGTAAATAAATTGTAAGTTTTAGAGAAATTTTTTATTTGTAATTTTCTTTAATAAGCTAAATACATAACGTTCACAAGAAACTGTTTCATCCTAAATGGATCTCCTATAACATTACACCAGAAATTTCTAAACATAACAGTAGATGTGACCAAAAAACACATTAATAGACAAAAAGATGATTCGCAACAAAAAAAATGGTTACATGGAAATCAAGATACGGGAACATAAAGTAAACCAACAACATAACTACGGCGTAAACTACATTCACATGAAATATAACATCCAACTTCAAATGGACAATACACCAAACTTAGCCCAAATAAATAAAGTTGTTTTCATGTCCTATCACTATTTCATCAGTCATCTCAAATCGCCTACAATCAAAGTTTCAAAATTCACATACAATTTGCTCCTATATTAAGGAAAATTAACACTATTACCACTAATCACTAACAGAACATCCATAACTGGAACATATAAAAGAAAATGTAAATGATATAAATGCTTATCCTTCTTTGGCACATGATATTCGTCTGCTTCACTACACACTCAAAATATCACGAGAACCTATTATTTTATCTTTGGCATATCCAACAACGAAAACCAGACGACTGTAAAATTATAAAAGTACACATCTATTGACTTAAAATTAAACTATAATTAGGAAATTATAACAAATTTATAATTCAAAAATCAGCAATAAAAAACTGAAGACAAACGTTGGAAATTTAGAAACAGAAACCTCTCTTTTTTTTGTTGAAATTTTAAACTGATTATCAACAAAAGAAAAAAATACAGCCTATTGAAGTTTATGCTTTCAGATAATGAAACACAAATCATATTAAGGAAAAATAACAGATTATGGTTGCATCGGAGAGACCCGAGCAAGCCATCGCTGTATCATGTCACTATAGAAGCTTAGCCTCCGCTTGCGTAGAGAGGATATCCTGTTTCGAATTGTCTTATCAATGTATCAAACCAGTTGACTCGTGGTGAGAGGAGTGCCCTGATGACGCCTGTTGTTCCGCTCATGCCAAATGCTGTGGATGCAAGCTTGGAGGGCAAGCTTCAGGAGGCATGTATCAACCTCCCTCTGGCGAGAAGATAAAAGAGATGTGACTATTATTGTCCAGTCGGGATTCACACGAGAGCCCAAGAGGAAAGCTACTAGGTCGATCCATACTGTGAAAGAGTAAGGGCACGCGAAGAACAGATGGTCACGAGTTTCATCATGTTCCCCGTAGAGGAGGCACGGCTGCAGGCAACCCCAAGCTCTGCTTCTCGCCCCCGTCGAGAGCCTATCCTGAAAAGCCAGCCACGTGATAAAAGCAAACTGTGGGATACTTTGTTGAACCCAAACCAATTTGCACCACAGGAGGTTTGGGCTGTATGCCCTCAATTGTTCCAATGTTGCTTTGCTTGAGAAGCTTATTTTGTAATCCTCATCCCCATGACTCCGTAGACGACGATCAGCAGCCGCGTCCTCCACCGGAGCAGGAACAGAGTTGATGCAGGCTATCATCGACTGTAGGTGATAGCCACGACACCGACGTATGTTCCATTGTCCACCAGAGGCCACTTCTGATACTGTCGCGTAGCGGGGAATACCTAAAATTTGTGTTCATGAATCACCCGTAATGTTGATAAGCCTTCCAATCCAAAGCCATTTTTCGAACCAAAAAAAGTTAGCCTTACCATTTCCTATCTCAGATCGGATAAAAGATGCAGCTTGGTCCCAAAGTTTCAACAATTTGCGCCAAATCCAAGACCCTGCATATTTGTCATTAACACCCCAAAAGCTGTGAAGACGCAATAGATAAGCCTTCGTCCAAGCTATCCACAACGAACCAGAGTTTGTAAGTAATCTCCAGATCAAGCTAAGCGCGAACACTTGTGAAGTGTCTGTCAAGCGTCTAAATCCTAACCACCCTCCTCCTTAGGTCTCCAAACATCATCCCAAGCAACCTTCGCCTTCGTATGCGTATTTGGTGATCCAGACCATAGAAATGCAGCACACATCCCTTCAATGGTAGTGAGACAGCACTTAGGGAGTCGAAAGAGAGAGCACCAGAAGTTTGTTATGCTGCCAATAACTGTTTTTACGAGCTGCAAGTGACCTACATAAGAAAAAGATTGACTTGACCATGATACCATACGCGTACGAACCTGATCAATCAACGGCTCATAGTCAGCTTTGGTCATTGTCTTCGTGGTAAGAGAGAGTCCGGGGTATCTCACAGGTAGTGAATCAATAGAGATGCCTAGCCGTTGGACCTCATCTTTGAATTCCTTATCAATGCGACCTGCCATGAAAATAGAGGACTTTGCTAGGTTAATCACCAATCTGGAGATACTTGCGAAGTCTGAGAGAACCTCAAATGCACCCTTAAGTGAAGTAGCTGCACCATTTGTGAAAATCATTAGATCGTCCGCAAAGCTGAGGTGTGTGAGGTTTATTTTACAACAAGAGGGATGGAACCCAATACGATGAGAGATAGACGCCTTATTAAGCATACGGGACAACACATTGATGGCTATAACGAACAGATACGGAGAAAGACAACAACCTTGTCGCAGACCCCGTTCACTGCCAAGAAATCCCTCCAATTCCCCATTAACTGAAACAGAGAAGGCAGCAGTGGAGAGGCATGTGTGAATCCAGTGAATAAACATTTCCAGAATGGCCATCGCGCGAAGAGTATCCATGATGAAAGACCAATTAACAGATTCAAAAGCCTTCGAGTATCCATCTTAAGAACACTATGGTCCTGGATTGATTGCTTGTGATAATCTTTGACAAGTTCAGTAGCTGGGAGGAAATTTTCAAGAAGAAGTCAAACCTTAACAAAGGTGCATTGGTTCGGCTCGATCAACTCCGGAAGCGAAACCTTAAGCCTGTTTGCAAAAATCTTAGAGATGACTTTGTATAGAATGTTGCAGCAACTGATATGTCTATAGTCTTTGATCTCTTTTGTGTCCCCATGTTTAGGAATCAGCGTCAGTATTGTAGCATTAACGCCTCGAGGTAGGAAACCATACATGAAGAAGGACTGGACTGCTATGACAAAATCCACCTTGATAATATCCCAAGATGCGCGATAGAACTCTGCCGAAAACCCATCAGCTCCTGAAGCCTTACTAGATGGCATGGAAAAAAAAACACATTTCGAATCTCAGCCTCTGATATAGGATGGGTAAGTAACTGAGAGGTGTGGTCAGGGCATCTGAAGTCCAAGAGTTTTGACAGATTCGGAGGAACCCCCATGGTAGCGTTGACTGGGCTCTTCCGAAGAAAGTTTTTGAAATGTGCTGTAGATGTAACTTTTATCTGATGAAGACCAGTGAAGACCTCGCCAGAGGGTAAGGTGAGCCACCGTATCATATTAAAAGAGGTTCTGCTTTGTACGATTCGAAAGAAGAATATAGTATTCTGGTCACCATGTTGCAGCCAAGTGATTCGGGATTTCAGGCGCAAAAAACTTTCCTCTATCCATGCCGAGTGGTTCCAGGTATTCATGGTGTCAGCAGCTTCTTCAAATGTAGTTGCAGTAGGGTCATGCAGAGATTTCTTTTGCTTGTCACAGAGTTCATCAAAAGTTTCCCGAGTGCGTTTCGGGATATTCCCAAACTTATTCTTGTTGAGGCTTCGGAGCAATGGCTTTAGGAGTTTTAACTTCTTGTGGAACCAATACAGCGCCGAGGTAAATGGAACAGAGCCTCAGTGGAATCCCATACAGTGGCAAATGTGTCAAGAAAGTCTGGGTGATCTACAAGGAAGTTAAAGAACTTGAAAGGTCGCTTATTTCCCGGAGGCGGAGTTTCTAAACGAACCCAACAACGTGCATGATCTGATACGCCTGAGGGCTCCACACTAGCATATGATTGAGGGAAATGGTGCAGCCAGTGATCATTAACAAGGACATGATCCAGCTTATTTGCAATAGGGTTTTCCTTTTGCTTGTTGGTCCGGGTAAAGGTAGGTCTGAGAGAGGTAAGATCAGTAAAATTGCAAGCAGCTACTGCAGATTGAAAAGCATGCTTTCCACGAAGATTCACATTTGAGAGAGTACCCCTAGAGTGCTCTAATACGCAAGAGTTTCATTGAAATCTCCCATCACGATGCATGGAACTCCAGGTAAAGCATATTGCTCTTTAACATAAGACATTTTGCTCCACAAGTGTTGCCTATCGGCAGTAAAGTTTAAAGCATATACACATGAACATAGAAATTGGTTGCCTGTGTCGGAAGTAACCCAGACGGTGATACATGGAGCACTCTTAAGCATAAGAGTAACCGAGATATCTTCTGCCCAACAGACCCATATTTTTCCTAGACGGTGATGATCATAGTTGGTATACATGGAGCACTCTTAAGCATAAGAGTAACCGAGATATCTTCTGCCCAACAGACCCATATTTTTCTTAGACGGTGATGATCATAGTTGGTATAAAAATTCCAGTGAAAAAGATCAGAGTTTAAGATAGATATACTGTTTTCTTCTCAAAAACGAGTTTCGACAAGGCAACCAAAGGAAGGTTTAGCAGACTAAATCCAAGAACATAATGTTGTTTGTTTGCGCATTTTGTTGAAGCCCCTTGTGTTCCCGCAAATATTGATATCATCACATTAGTGTCTCCATGAGGAGACTTGATTTGTTTGCTTGTTCTTGGCACCCTTGTTTTGAACTTTTTTGTTCCCAACATTTGTACTTGGGTTTTTCCAGTTCTGATTCTTCCTATTCTTTCCAATCTGCTGTTTATCCAGTTGTTTCCTTTTCTCAAGAACTACCTTAGACTCCAAAGAGCTTTCCTCTTCAGAGCTGGAGCTAGAGCTCTCAAAATCTGCTTCCACTTCCCCTTCTTCAAGGTCGTTGCTAAGCACATGGAATCGTGATGGTCAGCTAGTGCGATGGACCTCTGGATCCATACCTCTACCCGACTTACCATTTTTTCTATGGCCAGTGGGTGAGCTTTGGGGAACCAACGAACACAGTTTCTCATTATCAGGCATGTCGATGATTCTTGCTTCCTTGTCTAAAGCACAAGATTTCTACTCAACTATTTCAGTATCGTCCAAACCATCATCATTGTCTTGTGTTGATTGATATATGGTGTTTTTGACATCTTGTATATATACTTTATAAATTGTTTTCAAGTCTTTATCGAGTCTTTCAAGTCCTTTTTGAGTCATTATAGGTATGTAGTAGGTAAGGAGACCTTTGGAGACACACATGAAGAAAAGAATGAAAATTGGAAGTTTTCTGTCGCAGAGCACCCAAATAGAGAAACCCCGGCCTGCTTCCGAAAATTATGGAAACTTCTGATTAGTTTCGGGATTCGTTCTTGTTTTTCTATCTTCTTCTCCCAGCCGCCTGTGGCCTCTAAAAATAGGCTTTTTCCTATTCTCTTTATTTTCTCATGCTATTATACAGACAAAAAACCATTTTGGAGATTTTGCACTTTTGTAAAGGGAGAAGGATCTTCATCTCTCTCGTTTTAGAGAAGATCTCCTGAACCCTAACCCGCTTTTATTGCAGTGTTATTTCATGTATTCTTCTATTATGATCTCTGTGTTGCCTTATGCTATGGCTGGGTAGTCAGATTTATTAATCTAGGGTTTTAAGGTGTTGATTTATGAACTGAACATTGATAAGCTTCTTCTCTTTGTTTTCGTTTATAGCTACTCTTAATGCTAATACTAATCTAATCACTTAGTGTTTGAATCTAGGTTTAACCTTTTATCATTAACCATGAATTAGGTTGCTAGATCTATTATAGACGAGCATCATATCCCCTGATTAGCGAGAGTAGATATCAGGGTGTGATGTGAGCATATTAGATCAGGGTTTATTGTCGTTCCTTAATCCAAGCGAGAGCATAGGTGTCAAGGTCGCTCCGCAAAAGAAGCACACCTGCGAGAGCAGGGTGTTCTAGTTAAGAAATCTGAGTTCTAGACTGTTCTTAACCGAGCGTGAATAATTGTTTGGTTCATCATGTTAACACCCAATGAAGCACCCTAGGCCGCATTCTTCATCATCTGAAAACCCCAATCAAATTTGTTACTTGCTTGTTTTATTTTCTTAATTTAAAAACCATTTATTGTCTTAGCTTAATATTGATCTCATAGATATAAAGTGTAAGATTTGGTCTCTGTGGATTTGATCATCAAGTACAAAATCGAAGCTCTTATTTGAGAGTGTAGCTTGAAGGTTAATTTGAGCATATCAAATTTGGCGCCTTTGTCGGGGATCTTCTTTTTACCTTTATTTTTCCGTTATTTATTTAGTCTAAGACCTCTAACTTGCTCTTTTCTCTTTGTTGCAGGGATACTCAGCAACCAAGAGCTCGTGAGGTTAGAAAGAGAGAACATATAATAGCCAAGGCCAAGCAACACCACCATTGGTAATCACGGCCATCAGGATGATCTCGCTGCAGCAATGCAACTGATGCAACAGAAAATGCTCCAGATGCAGCAGACCATCCAACAACAAGCTTCTCTCGCGCAGCTGGAACAGCTGTCGAATGCTGCTTCAATCGGTGAGAGAAACCTACCTCATAACATCCCTGCTATGCGCTCTGCAATTATTCTTCCGCCTTGCACCAGACAGGACTTCGAGATCAAGCCTGCTTTTATCGCTTTAGTGCAGAGCAAGGTGTTCAGTGGTCTCCCAGCAGAGATCCCAATGGAGCATATTGAGAGCTTCGAAAAAGTCTGCAGCTTCACTCGTGCGAATGGCGTGCCACCTGACTACATCAAGTGCATGCTATTCCCATTCTCTCTTGATAGAAAGGTTGCACAGTGGTTGAACTCTCTCCTTACCGGTTCTTTCACTTCATGGGAGCAGGTCCGATCAGTGTTCCTTGGCCATTTTTAAAATAAGACGTGAAATGCAGCATTTAGGAACAAGATCACCTCATTCAGACAGCTCACCGATGAGCCTTTTTGCGAACAATTGGAGCGTTTCAATGACTATTGCAGAGAATGCCCTCACCATGGATTTGATGATATTACCTCTTAGGCATTTTCAATGACTATTGTAGACTTGGAATTTCATACTGATCTGAACTCTGAGAGCAGGGAAGATTTCATGACACAGACCAACGATGGTGCGTTCGAGCTGATAGAGAACATGGCTGCTAGTTCTGCAAACGGGAGCCCAGAAACAGATCGCTCCAGGAAGGTGAACAATGTCGATACACAGAAGATAGATGAATTGACAACCAAGGTTTATCAGCTGCTGAAGAACAACCAAGGACAAATTTATTTTGTGGGCAAGACAACTGCTGAGCAAGCCACGCAGAACAATTACCAAGACAGCAACCAGCATAAATCGCAGAGCAACCAGCAGGCTGCTCCAGCTACTACCAGTGGTCCGCAAGATGAGCTGAAAGGTTTGGGTATGATGATGCAACAACTGTTGCAGGGTCAGAAAATTCAGGGGAAGGCATTGAATCAGGGCACCGCAGAGATTAACACCAGAATGGACAACATGTTCACTAAGCTGAATTCAAAATATGATACTGTGAGCAACTGCTGAAACTGTTAAGAAGCAGAAAGAAACCCTTTGTGAAGAGTGTGATGAATCCTAGGATTGAGCACTGTAATGCAACACAGCTGAGATGTGAGAAAGCTGAGGGAAGAGCAATGGAGCAGCGGTCTGCTGAGACTGCTCCAGGCGCAGAGAAGAGAACATAGCAACCTACTAGCTCTGCAGAGACTGCTCCCGACGAATCTTCTGCGACTCCACCAGCTCGAGTCTATGTTCCTAAGGTTCCCTACCCAATTCCACCTAGACATCTGATGGATCCCATTAGTGAAGAGCAGTTGGCAGGTTTTAACAAGATGGTGAGAAGGCTTCCTAAAGAACTTGCATTTGAAGATGCCCTGCAGATTCGCCCACTGCTCAAGTTCTTTAAAAACTATAGAGAGACTCAAGAGGAGATCAAAGCCATTTATACCAAAGAACTGTCTACACCAGCACTGAAGGTATTTCCTAAGGTTGATGATCCGGGAAAGTTTTTTTCCCATGTTCCATCGCAGGAACAACCTTCAAGGATGCTCTTTGTGACTCTGGTTCTTGTGTGAATCTCGTCTCAAAGGCTATTGTAGACGATTTGGGTATTGCTGATGTTGAGCGTTCTCAGCTGACCCTGACCTTTGCAAACTCTTCCAGAGCAGTCCCATATGGAACCATCCGCAGCCTTCATGTTCAAGAAGGGGAATGCATTGTTCCTGCTTAGTTTCAAGTTGTTGAGATGAACAAGGATCATGAGATGTCTTTGATATTTGGAAGGACATTCATGGCTACTGTTGGAGAAACCATCGATATGCCTAACAAGAGAGTCTGCTTCTCCAACATCAACAAGAAAGTTTTCTACAAGGCTGTACCCACCAGATCTTCCTCATCACACGCCTCTTGCATGTCAGTGTTTGATGTAAAAAAGCTGAAGCTTGTTCCAGAGAAGGAGCATGGTAATAAGGGTGAGAGCAGGCTGTCCTCTGATAAAAATCCTAGTACTAATCCTACTAAATTTAAAGAGAATTCAAGGGTGAAACAGATAGTCTATAAGAAAAGGGTCAAGGCAGATCCTACAATTACTTTGGTACCTCTCAAGTGTGATGAGAACTCCATTGAGTATGAGGTAAAGTGCAAGGGTACCTCCAAACCGTTCTCTAAGTCAGAGCCCTCACACATGAGCTAAGGGAGAAAGGGGAAGCTGCTGTGAAAGGGTTGTTGAGCAGGGTTTTGAAGATGAGCATGTCTGATTGTGGAGCTTGTTTTGGAACAGGCCCTCATGCTCAACCAAACTGATCCATATCACCAAGTCAAGCTAGTGACTTAAACCAAGCGCTTGGTGGAGGCAACCCACTGGTGAGTGTCAATAACATTAGGTTTTTCTTTTTACTTATTTTTGGTTTTTAGTTTGTTGAGTCTCAGGTCATAAATAAATAAAAAATGAGATACCTCTGTTTTAAGAACAGAGCACAGTCAAGGAGCAACCACATCCTGCTCCGTCAGGCTGCTCTGCGCAGGTAAGAATCTCGAACAAAAATAAATAAATTAAGTTTAAACCTTCTCTCTGATTTATTTTCACACCGAGACGTTGTGAAGTAAGTCTGGGGGAGGGTCTTTTTCATTTACTAACTTGTTTATTTCTTTTAGCTTTTATGTTTGAGTCAGTCTTGAGTCATTTTGATATTTTTATTGAGTCAAAACTTGTGGGGATTAGGACCATATTTTGATAATCACTAACCACCTCATCCTTTAAGTTATCTTATTCAGTGACCTTAGTAGTGACGAAAGACGCACACTTGGAGGTGGAACACCCTGACTTTATCTCACCTTGTTCTCCAGAAGATTTCTGCTTGTAGAGGTTACTCTGGAAAGACTTAAACTCCATCTAACTTGAACCTAATATTGACCTGATTGTTCTTGTTATGGGCGTTAGATTAGGGAAACAAGATTACACTCAGGACATCTTAATTATTTCTACCCATCTTGTTGATTCTGAGTGGCTAGCTCATCTTTAGCTAGTTCCCACCCTGAACCTTAAAACCTTTGTGTTTGTCCTCATCCATTCTGTTCTTAAGTTTTATATGTGTAGATATGTGCAAAAGGGTTGGAGAGGAAAGGATCAACACAACTGTCACTCGTTTTGCTCACAGACTATGCTTCAGAGCATAGACGTACATGATCCGACAAGAAGAGAGCAGTCAGTTGGGTGATCCGAGTAGAAAAGACCAATTGGTGAAAGAAGTGCTAAAGTCAGAGCCACGAGGGGCACACTATATGTAATTACCTCCTTTTTGTCATCATCATCATCATCTGAACTCATCAATATTTCTATTAAAAAAACAGTGTTATTTAATTCCCAAGAGTTCTAAGAGATGATGTGAAAGAGAAGAATGGAAAAGAAAACAATACCCCTGGTCAATTGATGAATGACAAGCTGAAGTTGAATTGGAACAGTGTGAAGAAGGGTGATCTGGAAGAAAGGGAGAAACCTGTCAAAGAAAAGAGGAACAAGAAGCGACTGCTCTGCAGAGAAAAATGAGTGGGGTCTGTGGAGATCAATGGATCCATCCTCTCTTGCAATTTCGTGCGATATCCTGCATCCTCTACAGAGAAATTGTAATCCCTAAACACTTGTTAGCTCCACTTAAACACTTAAAAGCCTGTCTCACACCTAGACTGTCTACCCTGAATAATGCTTATGAGAAGAAGCTCACACTGCTCTTAATTGCATGTAAGGAGTTTTTGTCTGGAAAGTGTGATTTTTGCAGGTTTGGGATATAGAGTATGGAGCTCAGTTGAACTACAGTCAGTGGGGTTCTGGTAAGGGTGTGTCGTCCTAGTCTGTATGCTTGTATAGTTCAGAGATTCATGGTTAAAGTATGGTTGCTGAGACATAAGAGAGTTCCCATACTTTCAAGCCGTTCTCTGTGTTCTTGATACTTGACATTGTTTCAGGACAAACAAGGATCTAAGTCTGGGGGAATTGATATATGGTGTTTTGACATCTTTTATATATATTTTATTAATTGTTTTCAAGTCTTTATCGAGTCTTTCTAGTCCTTTTTGAGTCATTATAGGTTTGGAGTAGGTAAGGAGACCTTTGGAGACACAAATGAAGAAAAGAATAAAAATTGGAAGTTTTCTATCGTAGAGCACCCAGATAGAGCAACCCCGGCCTGCTCCCGACAATTATGAAAACTTCTGATTAATTTCAGGATTTTCCCTTGCTTTTCTATCTTCTGCTCCCAGCTGCCTGTGGCCTCTAAAAATAGCCTTTTTCCTATTCTCTTTATTTTCTCACGCTATTCTACAGACAAGAAACCATTTTGGAGATTTTGCACTTTGTAAAGGGAGAAGGATCTTCATCTCTCTCGTATTAGAGAAGATCTTCTGAACCCTAACTCTCTTTTATTGTAGTGTTAATTCATGTCTTCTTCTATTATGATCTCTGTATTGCCTTGTGCTATGGCTGAGTAGTCAGATTTGTTAGTCTAAGGGTTCTAGGGTGTTGATATATGAACTGGACACAGATAAGCTTCTTCTCTTTGTCTTTGTTTATAGCTGCTCTTAATGCTAATACTAATCTAATCACTTAGTGTTTGAATCTAGGTTTATCCTTTTATCATTAACTATGAATTAGGTTGCTAGATCTGTTATAGATGAGCATCATATCCCTGATCGGCGAGAGTAGATATTAGGGTGTGATGTGAGCATATTAGATCAGGGTTTACTGTTTGCTGTCGATCCTTGATCCAAGCGAGAGCATAGGTGTCAAGGACGCTCCACAAAAGGAGCACGCCTGCGAGAGCAGGGTGTTCTAGTTAAGAAATCTGAGTTCTATACTGTTTTTAATCAAGCTTGAATAATTGTTTGGTTCATCATGTTAACACCCAATCAAGCACCCTAGGCTAGCATTCTTCATCATTTGAAAACCCCCCATCAAATTTGTTTCTTGCTTGTTTTATTTTCTTAATTTAAAAACCATTTATTGTCTTAGCTTAATATTGATCCCATAGAAATAAAGTGTAAGATTTGGTCTCTGTGGATTCGATCCACAAGTACTACATCGAACCTCTTATTCGAGAGAGTAGCTTGAAGGTTAATTTGAGCATATCATTGATGAATGTTGAGCGCTCGCTTCAACTGTAGCCAAGTGCGCTACCTCCAATACAGGGTTCTCAAGATCAATAGACTTTGAAGGCTTATCTGTCTCCACTGAAGTTTCCTGCAGACCAAGCTCTTTCTCCTTCACCACTTCTTCGTTATCTTTATCTTTGACGTTCTTATTTTTAGAACATGTCTTTTCTGTGTGTCCCCATATCTGGCAGCCATGGATAACTCACAGAGATGATTTCCTTTGAGCCCCTAACTTTTATACTCGCCGGTAGAGGTTCCTCAAGATTCATAATCACCAGCAGGCGAGCAACATCTAGTCTTTTTATTACAGTTCAATTCTCCTGGTTTTGCATGTTTAGTATTCAGAAACCTCTCTTTTCTACTAAGGTACTTTTGAAGATATAGTACCTTAATGCATAATGCAATCTCCCCTAGAATAAATGACTAATTTACTATTTAGTAGAAACAACTATATATCCTAATGAACAACAAAAAGAAAGAATGTCCAGTAACCACAAAACACAAAACTCAATCTATGTTAGCTAGAAACCGTATCGACCATCTAATTTGAACATCTCCCAACAATATCATACGAAGCAGCTAAAAGAACATACACAAAAAATGTAAAAGTTTATCAATAGATACTGATAATTTCAGGGTTACAAATAATTTTGAATTCATTAAATAATAAAACATACGAACCCGGCCCATAGCGCCGGAATACCATTAATAGTTTAAGAAAGTTGAAAAATAAGTGTCTCTTCTAATGTTTCTGGAATTAAAAACGGATATGCGGAAATGAATGTTTGAAACTTGAAAATGTGATTTAAAATAATTTGAAATGGAAAGTGTTTTAGGAAGGTCTCCATATATATATTTATATGATTTTTCAACCTATAAATTCAATTGGTTTATTTAGTTTAATTTATCTAAAAGAGAAAACCAATTAATATTAGTGTTATTCTTTTTTATAGATTTTATACATTTCCTTTTTTATTAAAAAGTGCAAAACATAGCATGTTATCAATCGATAAAAATTGGAATCCATTATATTCCATGGCAAATTATTATATGAACAAATACCGAAATATTATATTAAAAATACAAGTCAAATAGTTTTCATTATTTTGCAAAACTATTTCCAATATAATCTAATACAAGATTTTGACCCGCGCTTTGGAAACGCGGGTTTTTCTTTGGATCATAAATAAAATCATTTTTATGTCACAATGTAATTATATCGAAGTAGAGTCCTTGTAAATTTATATAAGTTAAGAATTAGTTTATATAAAATTTTGTATGCACATTCTTATATAACTCTTTTTAGGTCTTGACATTTTACCGGATCCACAAAACCAAACCAAAATCCACCCAGAAATATAGCTATGGTTTGGGTTTGAGTTTAGTGCAAAGTTCATTTTTGATTTTTTCTTGGACCTGCGATCACTGTTCGATTGCGGATCCTACCTGAGACCCAACTGGATATTCTAAGTACCTTAAATGTTTGTGTATGTTAGGTATATTTGGATATTTTAGATATGTATTCGTTATTTTGAATGTGTTTTCAGTATTATGATATTTTTTGAAGTTTCGGATCCAGATTTCAGATTATAATTTTGGGTATAATTTCAATTTTTTTAAGCAAATATTTTCGGTATGAGAAAATTTTTTTAGGTATTTAGGTTCCTTAGGTCAGATTTATAGTAATATATTGGTTTTTTAGGAATTTAAATATTTTGTAGGTGTTTATTTGGATTTTTGGGTTTTATTAATTTTAGGTTTTCGGGTACGTCGGGTCTTTTTGAGTCCTAAAAATCTCGAACCAAATTGGACCCGTTATGTAACCAAAAATTTTAGGTCTTTATAGGTATTTGAATTATGGACTTTTTTCCCCAAAAAATAGACCGGAATACGAATCAGAAAATTTCAAACTCATAGCTATGTCCAAATGTTTAGGATCCAAAAAACCTAATGAAAGAATGCAACAACCTTGCAAAGTAGATTTTTCAGAATGATTCTCTTTTAATAGTATATATTAAAAACAGATAAATACATGTTAGTTTTTCATATGCTTGAGCATTTCACTCCTACAAATCCCGAATCAAAACATACCAAAATTACAGGTTCGGTTCAGTCAAGTCTTGGATATAATGCCTATTAGATAATAAATTCACCTACGGATCTTATTCGGGTATGTATCCTACCTGAGATCCCATCAGATATTTGAAATTCCTCAAATTTCTTAGATATATATGTTATATTAGATTATTATATTATATTTTAGGTATTACAAATACTTTTTATGTTTTGGGTTAGAGTTTGCAGTTATTTTTTCGAGTTTAAGGTAAATTTTATATATAAAAATATAATGTGGGTACATATTTTGGTAGTTTCGAGTCCTCATATCAGTTTTTGGAAAACAATTTGGGTATTTGAATATTTGTAGATATTTTTTGAGTTTTAAATCTATTTTGGGTATTTTTATTTTTTCGAATCTTAAATATTAGAAGATACCAAAACGTATTTTCGAATATCCAAATTAAAGCTTGCATGTTATATTATATACTTTTGGAACTTTTTGATTTTGAGAAGCAAAATTCGATAAAAGGAACAACATATATAATTTTGGTATATTAGGATACATCATGAGACATATTTAGAGATGATGATATTTTAGTATATTTGATTTATACACATGTATTAATCTTTGGTCCACTTAGTGTACGTCCATAAGATGATTTATAAACGTGTAGTCGAGAAATAATTAAAAGGTAGCTTAGTGAAATATTAATTAAAATCTGTTAGGATTAATTAATTTTATTAAGTGTTATATAGTTAGAGAAATTTTAAAGTAGGACCAAAAAATAAGGAATTAAATGAAATGGTCCAAACAACTTGTATAGATAGATTTTTTAGGACTCTTTTTCTTTTAATAGTATTGATATTTCCTATAAAACAGAGAAACTTTATAGCAGAAATGAAGTTCATTTCTACTATATTTCTACAAAATAGCCTTTTTATTATGGAATAAAATATAGACAAAAGTTATTTATATTTTATTCTCCTATTTATAGAGAAAATAGTAATCTACATTTCGGAAGAAATTACAGAGACGGACTGGAGTATATTTGCCTCCAAATAGTATTGTAAAAGAAAATGTATAGAAGTAATGGAAATGTTCTAAGTATATAAAAATGAAAATAGGTAATCAGTAAATATCAAATGAAAAATATTTAATCACTCTTGTTTTAAAATCAAATTTATGAGTTTTTAAAATAGAAATGTAAGATTCTATCGCGTTTCCAAAATGAGATTTAAACAAAACGGTTTTCAGTGCGCTCCTACACAATTTCAATAGATATCGATTCTGAAATAGGAAATGGACATTAACACAGTTTCCATACAACCTAGCTTAACACTTTCTTTACGGGTGGGTTAATATGACAAAGTATGCTCGTGTAGAAAACTAGGTTAGATGCGTATTTTATTCCCCAACTATTTGTAATCGGTAAATTTAATACCCAAGTATTACTTGCGTAAAATTATTGTCGAACTAATTCTTGATGTGAAAAATTGGACTTGAAATAATCAACCATTAACGCATAAACGGAAAACTAATAATATATGTTATTCCTCAATCCTAACAACACACAAAAAATACAAAGAAAAAAAAAATCAAGAATTGGTTAATTGTTATTAAGTGAATAAGTTAGCTTCATTCCATACCCTCACCTTAGAAATTCAGGGTTAACTTGGTTAGTTGTTATCACGATTGCACCTCGTGGACGAATAATTGCTGGAGAAGAGCCACCTTTGCAAGAAGAAGCGTGTACCACTGAAGTAGAGGTACCTATCAACAAACTGATGAAATATTTCTTATTGAAACGGATAACCATCAATATGAAGATCTTCTCGATGATATGATGGATGAGAGGTGAAGACGAGTTTGATGTAAGCTATGATGATTATTCTGATGTTGATGAGAAATCGAATGATTTTGAATGATGTAAAATATGTACCAAATGTTGGAAGGGCCTGGTAACTTCGTCGTAATAAAAATACAGAGCCTGGTAACTTCATCGTACTCCGATCGTCCGTGACTTATTGGTAAATTTTTTTTTAATTTTTTTTTGTTCTAACAAGTTGATATTATTTTCAGGTTTGGAACAGGAGACACAGCTAACTCAATAGGCTTCCGATGGATTACCCGTAACATTGACTACATAAGAAGTCGAACAGATTTTTGAAGAGGCTTAATTTTCAAATATATTTTAGTTCAGTTATATTAATTCTTTATATTTAATTAATATAATTGAATTAATGTATTATATAATGTTTTTTGAAAAAGGTGGCTCCTAGAAAGAAGGCACAAACGATGGGAATATGCTCTGTCAACAAAGTCTTAAGGGCGACTTCGTCATACACTTCGAGACGGCATGAAGAAAATTCTTAGATGTAGGCTCGCATGGACTCCAAGCAGGAGCGTTTCGAATCACTTAAAGATCTGCTTGACATTATGGTGACCGGGAACCCAATTATTCAGAGAGTGTTGAATGAAAGACAAGCGGCTCTCGGAATGTAGCAATATCCTCCCGAGTCAACCGGTCGAACATGCCCGGAACCAAGTCATACCAACGAGTACTTGGGCAACGCCATGCCGTAGTTATTTTATTTTGTTTTGTTTTGTATTACAAATTTATATATTTTATGACATTTATATTATGGCTTGTTAAAAACAATTAAAAGTTTAAATATTTTGTTTTGTAATTTAAATTACGAATTTCATAAATATAAAAACATATAAAATATATCAATACCAAGTAAATTTCTCATAAATTTTACAACGACTTCAAATGGATGTCCTAATAAATTCCTCGAAAAGTTTACTACGATTTTCCATGGAAGTTGTAGTAAATTACTCGTAAAGTTACAACGAGTTAACAAGGAAAGTTTATGAGCACTTTAAGAGGAAAGGGAACGAGGAGTTTGCGATGAATTGTAACGTGGACTTTACGACGAAGCCCTTCCTTGTCTTTTACAACGACAATCTTTCCTCATAACATTACATGGATTTTATGACGAATATTCCATTACGTAGGGCTTTTAACAACGAAACGTGTTTCCTTGTTGATTTGTCAATTGTCCTATTACGACGAATTAATAAGAAAAATAGCCCTCGTAAAAAATATGTTTTTTTGTAGTGTTAGTATTACCTTAATCTAAAACTATTTATTTATGTTTTTATTTGTTGTAAGTTTCTCATTTGTTTGGTATTTAAAGTAAACTAAGA